GTGTAGGCGGGACATGCCTCCTCCCCATCAACTGATAAGAAGGTACTACAACCACAACAGTAGCAGCTGCTACTCCTACTGGAGGAGAAGGAGGAGATAAAACTAGTGGAAAGACGTCAAATAATGTCTCTACACCAAAACCAGAGAGGAAAAGGGTAGGTAATACTTTCTCTTTATTTATTATACTGATCATTATAGGAGAGGTTACCTGATAAGGATCCTCCCAGTAATAGTGAAGCTGTTAAGAAAAGGCGGGAATCAGCACCTGGTGACTCTTCTAAAGAAACACCAGCTGCAGCTCAACCAGAGCCTAAAGTACCCTAAAAGAATTATTATTATTTATTTATTTATTGTTGTTGTTGTTTTTAGAAAAGAATAATCAAAGTTGTGAAAAGTGACAAGGCAGATGTTAGCAAGAAAAGAGCAAAAGTATATTATTATTTATTTTATTTATTTTATTTTGTTTTATTTATTACAGAGTCCTCCTGCTGCTCTTGTTACTGAAGAAAAGATTAAGAAACTGTATCCATTTCTCCATTATAATAATCATCATCATTAACACATTCATGTTAATCCATTACCAATAAACTTTAACATTCAATATAACAATGATAATGACACGATTCTTCTGTTATATTCAGTAATTATTATCACTAACCAGTTTATACATGTTTATCTTCCTTAACTTCTCTTCATTAGTTCTACTACTAAACCAACTGCTAAGAAGCCAACCTGATCATCTCACCCAATTCCTAACACACTTACCTCCTCCTTCACTCATCCCTTCATTTTGTACATTATTACTAAATTAAATGACACTTATTATTATTACAGTATTTTTGAGACTAATAATTAACAATGAATATTAATTAGCCACACCCACTACACGTGTACTTGTGTGAAAATGAGCAGAAAGAAGCAGTGTCAATGTTTTAGCTCAGAACTGGAGGAGAAATGGAAGAGAGAGACAACAAAAATAACTGAAGATAAATTTAAAAGTAGCCATTGTCTCTATTTGCTGATGATTTGATGGCTTCTCATTTTTAGATTTTATAAATTCAATTTTAGATTCCAAAGACTTATCAACACAATTATCCAGTGTTAAAAAGGTATTATATAATTGATTATTATTTTTTTAATTTTATTTTCTTTTTAGGTACAGGTTGATATTTTAGCTATAAGATCCGAGAATCATGTTAACACTGATCCTGATCACATTGATTCTGATCACACTGATCTGATCATAGTCCTTAACATCTTAATTCAAATGCATTCAGTTTGTGAGCCATGTCATCCATTGCAAATTTTGATGCATGTACATGTTGTTCCAGGAATTTTATTGTAACATTTGAATATTGGCAAGTAGGTGAGAATTCCTCACTTAAATATTTGTGTTGTAAGCTGCTTCTGTAAAAAATTTTAGAGAAAATTTTCCAAGTACTTGGCACTACTTGCATAATTAATTTTGCAAGGATTTAAATTGCTTGCAAGGATACGACTTGGCAAAAAAATTTGCTATATCTAGTTGTTTTAAATCAAGTGTTATTTATTAAAACTCATAATTAATTATTACAACTGTTAATTGTCATTAATTGTTAGTGTGTCACACCTTTTAAAATATTTAACTAATGGTATAAATACTATTATTAGGAATACTATTAGTTTTAGCT